TCGAGATGATAGCAAGCGGCACGTTTGGTTGATAGTTACACTTCCACCGCAGTTCCTGCCCATGGGGCAATCTGGCATCACCCCTTGATCTCGTCGATGCATGGCGTATGCCTGGGTGGGCCTGGCTACGTCGACGAGCATCCTGGACATTCCTCAACGCCGGCAATCTGCCTTCAAGGGAAATGGAGTAGGTGTTCCTTGCGAAGAAAATGACAACTGCACTTTTCTGGCGTTCGTTAGGTGCAGTTGGTATAAATCAGCGCCTGTGCTCCAGACAGGGTCAACCGTCACGTTCGAACATTTTCGGGATTTTTGCGACCCCCTAGCTCTCGAGGGGGTCCAGTTGCGACCCCCTGTTTTTGTTAATAAGAGTGCTAGACATGAATCCGTTGCGCCAGAAAGCGTCTGCGCGTCGTCGCGTCGGCCTTGGAGCGCGGCAGGTATCACCCGGGCGCTGGAAGAACGGGACGCGGCGAAGAAAAAATTTTAGAGGGGAATAACTTTCTTGGGACGTTTTTTTTGACTTGTTGAGGTAGATTTTGATTGTGCCTGAGGTGCGCTTTCAGAAAACTACAAGGATTGCCTAACTCTCCGGAAAGTACTTCTGTTAGAAGTGGAAAACCCAAAATTCTAAGAAGGCGCACCTTCAACTTTGAAGGCCCATAAAATCTTTCGTATGCGACATTTTGGAAATCTGTAAAAAGTTTCAGAAACTTCAAATATTTCTCTAACAAAACAGTAAAAAGTTTAGTGATTGTCCCCTTTTTCAAAAAATTGTCCCGTTCGAACATTTTTCGTGCAAAAGCGAGTTTTTGGGCTTTCAGCGACCATAACTCACTTCATTCATTTCTGTGATGCACTTTTTTCATGGGGTGAAAGTACAGGATTTGCTCTTTCTAACAAGCACCAAACCGTTTTTCAAATCATTTTCCGAGAAAATCACACGTTCGAACATTTTGTTCCCATAGGTTTTTGAGCAGCACATGCGAGTTTTTGAGCTTTCAGCAATAATAACTTCCTTCAAAGAACTTGTTGGGGAGGGCGAAGACATTTTTGAAGACTACGAGATTTCTGCTTTCTTATGTGTTTTACGTTGTCTGGAAGAATCGTCCTCAGAAAATTAGGTCCCGAAGAACTTTAATTTCAGCCCCGAGAAGTCAAACCTTTCATAGGGATGCATTCAACTGTTCTTTATTCCTCAAGAAAACACCGTAATTTGCCTAAAACTGTCTCTCTGTGCATAATTAATCGAATCTAATGCGGTCTGCACAAACAATTCTTGCCCTCGGATACGCCACGCACGCGCCTGTGGCTGGCAGTCCTCGAAATTGCGACCCCCTTCCGACCAAAATGCGACCCCTTCGTTCGAACAGTTCGAACGGACGGTTGACCCTGGCTCCAGATCTTCATGAGTTTTGCCATACCGCTAGTTATTATTTCTAATGAACGGAATTTTGTACTCAAGCGACTATCGCAGAATTGTGGGAGAAAGTTCTTGGAAATGACACCGCAGGCCTTAAGTTCACGCGCAAGCACATGAATGCAAAAAAGTGATAATCGGAAAAATGCAAAAATCCGAGCATGGAGGGGAACCGAACCAACAACCTCGAACAAACCGTGCCAACCAGAGTCCATCACGCTATCCACTCGACCATCCGACCACCGCTGGCAGTTGGATGTCGACGACTCTGATGAAACTTCCTTGTGCTTTTGAGCACTTATTATATACAATTTTTGTTTTGGCTTTATTCCACGCTGTTTTCAATGTTCAGGTGAAGAAAACCTTCTATTGTGCGTCCACTTAACGCTACGAGTGATATAAACCACGTTGAAGGTGTGAAAACTCCGATTTCTGAAGAAATTTTTTCACTCCTTTTTTGGCATTCAGAGGGCCGCTCAGAAAAAATGGAGCCTAGTTTTGTACTCCATGCATGTGCCCCTTTATCATGCAAAAAACCGTTTTCAAAAAGGGCTCCATGTCCTGAAAGACCTTTCCTGGTAATTTAAAGGAATCTTCCACGGACCATGGACCAGTGGGCGGGACCGGAAGTGGTTTTGCGACGAAATGCATGGTAGGTACGGATCCACGTTCATGGGAAGGTTTGAAGTGCAGGGTCAACCGTCACGTTCGAACATTTTCGGGATTTTTGCGACCCCCTAGCTCTCGAGGGGGTCCAGTTGCGACCCCCTGTTTTTGTTAATAAGAGTGCTAGACATGAATCCGTTGCGCCAGAAAGCGTCTGCGCGTCGTCGCGTCGGCCTTGGAGCGCGGCAGGTATCACCCGGGCGCTGGAAGAACGGGACGCGGCGAAGAAAAAAATTTTAGAGGGGAATAACTTTCTTGGGACGTATTTTTTGACTTGTTGAGGTAGATTTTGATTGTGCCTGAGGTGCGCTTTCAGAAAACTACAAGGATTGCCTAACTCTCCGGAAAGTACTTCTGTTAGAAGTGGAAAACCCAAAATTCTAAGAAAAGGTTTTCGGAAGGAAGTTACCTTCAACTTTGAAGGCCCATAAAATCTTTCGTATGCGACATTTTGGAAATCTGTAAAAGTTTCAGAAACTTCAAATATTTCTCTAACAAAATAGTATAAAAAGTTTAGTGATTGTCCCCTTTTTCAAAAAATTGTCCCGTTCGAACATTTTTCGTGCAAAAGCGAGTTTTTGGGCTTTCAGCGACCATAACTCACTTCATTTTCATTTCTGTGATGCACTTTTTTCATGGGGTGAAAGTACAGGATTTGCTCTTTCTAACAAGCACCAAACCGTTTTTCAAAATCCATTTTCCGAGAAAATCACACGTTCGAACATTTTGTTCCCATAGGTTTTTGAGCAGCACATGCGAGTTTTTGAGCTTTCAGCAATAATAACTTCCTTCAAAGAACTTGTTGGGGAGGGGCGAAGACATTTTTGAAGACTACGAGATTTCTGCTTTCTTATGTGTTTTACGTTGTCTGGAAGAATCGTCCTCAGAAAATTAGGTCCCGAAGAACTTTAATTTCAGCCCCGAGAAGTCAAACCTTTCATAGGGATGCATTCAACTGTTCTTTATTCCTCAAGGAAAACACCGTAATTTGCCTAAAACTGTCTCTCTGTGCATAATTAATCGAATCTAATGCGGTCTGCACAAACAATTCTTGCCCTCGGATACGCCACGCACGCGCCTGTGGCTGGCAGTCCTCGAAATTGCGACCCCCTTCCGACCAAAATGCGACCCCTTCGTTCGAACAGTTCGAACGGACGGTTGACCCTGGCCTCCAGATGCTTCATGAAGTTTGCCATAACCGCTAGTTATTTATTTCTAATGAACGGAAATTTTGTACTCAAGCGACTATCGCAGAATTGTGGGAGAAAGTTCTTCGAAAATGACACCGCAGGCTTTAAGTTCACGCGCAAGCACATGCGAATGCAAAAAAAGTGATAATCGGAAAAATGCAAAAATCCGAGCATGGAGGGGAACCGAACCAACAACTTCGAACAAACCGTGCCAACCAGAGTCCATCACGCTATCCACTCGACCATCCGACCGCCGCTGGCAGTTGGATGTCGACGACTCTGATGAAACTTCCTCATGCTTTTGAGCACTTATTATGTTCAATTTCTTGTTTTCGGCTTTATTCGACGTTGTTTTCAATGTCCACGTGAAAGAAACCTTCTATTATGCCCCACTCAACGCTACAAGCGTTATAAACCACGATAAAGGTCTGAAAACTGCGATTTCTAAAGAAGCTTTTTCCACTCATTCTTTGGCATTCGTAGGGCCGCTCAGAAAAAATGGAGCCTAGTTTTGTATTCTATGCATGTACTCCTTTCTTATGCAAAAAACCGTTTTCAAAAAGGGCTCCATGTCCCGAAAGGCTTTACTAGTATTTAAAGGAATCTTCCACGGACCATGGACCAGTGGGCGGGACCGGAAGTGGTTTTGCGACGAAATGCATGGTAGGTACGGATCCACGTTCATGGGAAGGTTTGAAGTGAATCCTGTTCACGTTCGTGCGTTCGACACGTGGATCCGTACCTACCATGCATTTCGTCACAAAAACTTCCGGTCCCGCCCACTGGTCCATGGTCCGTGGAAGATTCCTTTAAGTTTTACCATGACATCACTATGGAAAGCAACCAAGACTTTCAACCTCTTGCAATCAAAATTGCGAGCGCAATTCAAACGGCCTGCCTTCGAAACTTACTCCGAAGGCGCTTACTTTTGTTTGAACTGCCCATGTTGACATTCTTCAATTAGAAAAAAAAGCTAATCGTAGTGAGACTATCGAGTATGGTTCCATCGTGGCCAAGAATTGCCTTTACCGAATCTTCATCTATATCAAACTATGTGAATTGGATTTGTGTATTCATCTCGTGACCAGCCAGCCTTGGGACGACCATCACCGCCTTTCTGGCAATGTCGCTGCTTCTGCTCACCGCTCTCCGGCCTTTATTTTCGGACGAAGACGTGTTTAATCGCGAGCGAATCTAGATTCAACAGAAGGTGCTGTTTAGAACTGTCTTCATTTCTTCTCGAACCGTTGATAGCAAATAAGCGAGATTGTGCAAAGTAGTACAACACCTGGAGACATGGTAGTGCTTCAACAACCTTGGAATGAACGAGAAGTTTTCTGATATGCTTCGCTACCACTCTTGTGGAGCCCACACGTGCCACAATGCATATATAATATATTTTGCCCTTCTTCAGAAGAATACCACGGAACATTCCGAAAATGAAGTCCAAAGATTTGTTAGTGACGCATTTCACTTAGCAAGCGCCTTCTGTTGCTGCACATCAGAACTTGTTCGTTTTCTCAGGTTGAGCTTATAATTATGAAACGCTGCAGAACCAATAAGCTATCAAAAAAGGAGAAAATGATGTTAGCCACCAAAATTTTGGGTCCGGATGATGCTAGAAAAAGTCCTAAATTACTGCTTATTATGGAAATGCAAAATTGAGGGTGAGCTTATGATTATTAAATGCGCACTATAAATGGTCGAAGAAAGTTCAAATTAATTCAAACTGGAAATAAACTGTAATGATATACCTGACTGTATTCGAAGATGGCTTGCTGTTGAGTAAAGAATGCAGCAACGTTAATTATAAGAGAACCTATAATATAGAAAGTATGTATGTTCATTTATTACGCAATAGCGTAGACTTCAATCATGAAATCACGAAGATTCCGAGTCATACCGGGATAAGAACGCTCACCGATTTCCAATTAGGGTAGCGTGTGTAGTGACTGGGGGAAAACTGTACCGAGTCAGTGACGAAGGAACAAAGATTGAAAACGTTACTGTTTCTTGAACAGAATTAGTGGGACGCTGTGCCACCCAAGAATCTTGTTTGGCTTCACGAATAGTGGAAATAAAGCGTGTTCCTCCCCTCTTTCGCACACTTAATTTTGAGCAGCGTTACAGTGTAACATGGCCTCCATCATATAAACCAGAGAAATGAATCGGAAAAGGCTTTCCTCCTTGCACATCTAGAACTGAATTAATCGATGCTAAACTCAAATGCGTCGAATAAAATTGATGACCTAAGAGCCGTTAACAAACTATTATTCAAACACCTTCATACTGGCCTTGTACACAGGCAATACTAGAAGAATCTGCCGCGGGATAGTAGTACAAGGTTCAAGCTCAGCCAGCTCTTCGATAAGTCGTGGTGTTCTTCCCTCAGCCATCTCGGAATTTCGATCTCTTAAAAACTGCTCACCAGTACCAGGATGAAGCTATTGCTACTTCCTTGAGCTCAACGAGATGTTTGAGGACATCATTTTTGAAGACGGTAAGCTCAGTGAGTAAGAGCATGCATTTCAATTAAGGAGGGTCATTGCAGGAATATTTCGCCGAAAAACCTTCACTAACCGTGCCAGACGGCCTTCCAACAAAAACTGTGAGCCATGAACGAAACTCTTCTCGGTGAAGCTATTCATGCTTACTAAACCAGTTGGCGCCGCACGACAACATACATAGTTTTCGGCGATATGGAGTGGTACGGTGTAAACCCTTAAGCATAGCCCGATACGACGAATATTTATTTTGTAAGAAAGATTCTCTTCTTTTGTGTCATACCCCGTCCACCTATGGCTTCCGACCTTCCCTCCTTCGTCAGCCAGTGCCCGCTTTTTGGCGTTCTCCAAACTGCCTCTGAACCGATTTATAAATCTCGCGGTAAACTCCGCCTATTTTGTTGCATGTCCGACCTACCTTTTTTCTTTCTTGGAAACCTCTTCCACTTTCCCTCGTCCCTTGAAAATCAAAAAGTGCACAATTTAGTTTGGTTTCTGAACCGAATTATATGCTTGGCGGCGATCCCCGCTCTTCTGGTGCATGCTCCGCAAACCATTAGAATTTCACCTTCAAACCACTATTCAAACTTTCTTCCCTTCGCCCACTTCTTTTTTTCCGATTCTGGAACTTCCTAGAATCGAGTTATAAGTCTGAAAACAAACCCCGCCCACTTTTTGCACTCCCCGTCCACCAGTTACAGTTGGCCTCCTTTCCTTCTCCACCTCCACCTCCTTTTTTCGCAGTCTCCGGGACCTTTTGGAACCAAACTATGAATTTTTGTGGCAAACACCACCCACTTTAGCGCATGTCCCACCAATAGAGATTGTCTACCTTTCCTTGACCAACCTCTATCGACTTTTTCGGTCTCCGGTATCTCTTGGAGTCGGATCATAAAGTTCCGTGGCAATTTCCGCCCACTTTGCATGTGCCGCCCACCAACACCAAGTAACCTTTTCTTCCACTGCCAACCCCTATCCACTTTTCTCCAGTCCCGAGTATTTTTAGAACCGCTTAGCTTCGAATGCAAACCGCGCCCACCACTAACATTTAGCCTCCCCTTCTTCTCTGATGTCCATCCATCTATGTATTTCTTGCTCTCTAAGACTTTTCGGAACCGAGTTGTGGGGGCTTGTAGGAAAGTCACTGAAGGGCGCGCTCGCCCCTCGCAATTGGCCTCCGCTCACGTTATGTATGCTGTTAACTTCTTAGACATTGCTTCCCTACACCAATTTGTTTTCAGCTCTGTGGGCTTTCTCCATACTAAGTTACGATTTTTTCCATAAAGCACTGCCTGCTACGCCCACCGGAGGTGGGTCTTCCTAATCCGATCTGCTTTATCAGTACGCACCTTTACCCATTTTTCCCAGTCTTCTGGAGAGTGTTGGAATCTGAATCTCACTGGGGGCGGGACTCCTTAGCTGTTCT